ACACCCCCCCCCCCCCCCCCCCCCCCCCCGAAAACAAAAAAAACAAATTTTAAGCCACCCCCCCCCCCCCCCCCAAAAAAAAAAAAAAGAAACCAGGAGTCATCCTCTCAGATGCACATGAAAGATTTATGTGATATTTGCTTAGGTTGAATGAGAGATTTTTCTAAAGATAAAAAAAAATTGGGTTGTATGTTTGTTTTTTTTACTTTTATTTTACACACAAACCGCTTTTAAGACACTTTTAGGCTGGTGATATTTTGGGAAAAAAATGTCCCACTTGTTTACTTGCAAGAAAGGGATTTAAATTTGGTGCAAATTAGTGCAAATTTTGATTGTCTCGTATCTCACAATAATCAAGTGGAAATCAGCTTGTGGTGCAACTAAAATGAAGACAATAAGAAATTTTAGCTTTTACTGCTTTGCTAAATTTTCCCTCTTCTCTTAGTTTACATGTAATATCCAACAAAATGTCAAAACACCACAAATTTTGTTTCTAAATTAAGTTTAAAGCTAAGAATGCATCTAATTACATATTTTTTTTCTCAACAGAAAATGGAGCAGACAAAAAGTTTAGCTGCAAGAGTAACAAAAAAAGAGTCACTATACAACCTTTTTCAGTAAATATATTTCTATGGAGGGTTTTAATATTAAAATCCCCACCAGATGCTGATAACATAAGTAATCAACGCATACTCAGAACTTGATAAATTTTGTGCAGTTAACTGGAATGATTCAGGGAATAGACATTAAACACATCATGAAAAGAAGCTGCAAAAGGGCAAAAGCCAATAAAACCCAGATGAAATCTTTTAGTATTTAGAAAATAACTTCCCCTCCTAAAGATGATTAATATCAGGTGGTTCAAACTGATGGCTACTAAATGCTTGCTCATTACCAGGGAATTGCATCCGAAGTATTTCATAATGGGTCAGAGTTCTTTCAAGAGCTGCAAAACATACTGCTGGGAGCGGTTGTGCACACATTTAATTGTTCCACTGAGAAACACCTGGGTCATGATTCTAAACTTAAAGTAAATCAGCTACAACCAGGTTCTCCTCTTGAGGCGTTTCAGAAAAACTGTCCAAAAACAAAGCCATTTGGAGAGAGCTTTAGAAAGATCTGGAATTAGTAGCTTTCCATAAAAAACACAATGGCTTCCAGGATTGCTCACTGCGCAAGACTCCACTGCTGAAGAAAAGGTGTATTTTTTCTTATTTAAACTTTGCTGCAGAACATTTGGACAAGCCAAATGTCTACCAGGAGAATGTTTTAAACAGGAGTAGTACTGAACGCCAACTCCAAAACACAGCAACAAACACTACATCTGATGGAAGCTTGAAGGTACTGATTTTCAGAAAATATTCGTTTCAGATTTATATAGCTGAAGAAAAGATGGGGAAAAATACTTGATAATATTCCAAAGTTGAAACAAATCAGCAATTAGCATTAATACACAGTCAAAGAAATCCTCGTCTGGTTTCAAAGAAAATAAAGTCGCTTGATTGGCCCAAGTAATCCGCTCATAAATAGCTAAAACAAGCAAAGACCACAGTAGGTGCTTATTTTAACAATTTAAATATAGTTCAGCATATCTTGATATGCATTACTATGCAAAGTGGAAAATAAACACAAGCTAATTGCATGTCAAGTACCGTTACGCCTAGGTATTTATTATAAAATGCTCTATGAAACATTCTTATCTAAAGATGGAATAGAATATCAGTGGACAGAGGAGAGCCTGAGGATCAACAAAGTCTGATTTTAGTTTCTGTTGAACAAAACAAAATTTCACTTTAGCAATGCTTCAGACTAGTTTCACCATATAGAAAACACTTCAGTGTTCCTTAACAAAAAGGAATATTTTGTGAATAAATAAATGTTCAATACTTATTCCCTGTGTCATTTCACTTTTTTTGCACACAACATAACCCTACAGTTAAACTTTGCGTTTCCAAATTTGTAAGTAACTTTCAATTAACGGATATGAGAAGACCAATCCTCTGTTGTGGAGCGGTTTAGACTTTTATTTAAAAGAATTATGGTACAGTGGTAGGAAGACATGTTGGATTTTATGAGTGCAAATTTTTTCCTGTTGTGCAAATTTATATGTAAAAGCAGTAGTGACGTAATCAAAGATAGTAAGTGCTTTGTTGTGTTTGTATTTTCACTTTGTTCAGCACGAGAGAGGACATCTCACCAGTTCCTTCTTTGAGTTGTAGTGTGCCCACATTCACAACATTGACATAACTCCTCAAAGCAAATACATTCAATCATTAATCAGAAAAATACTCAAAACTATGCGCTTGCAAAAATAAAACTATCTTAGTTAGCTTTCTAAGGCGGCGCATCCACCTGGAGGCTCTCTGCAGCGCTGCCATCCTTTTGCACGAGGACTTGGAGCGGCGCAGCGAAGGAGAGCTGTGGTGATGCAGGAGTTTTTTTTGTTTTTTTTCTTTTTCAATCTACAAAGCAATAAAAGAAAAAGCACCTTTATCAACTCATACAAGCAGACAGAGCTTTGCACAAAACCTCAAGACTGCAACTGGACGGATTTGAAAATCACCCCACCCCCATCATTGTTCTGATGAGGCCAGCCCTGGTTTGCATTGGTAAATACAGTATTTCAGATATATGTAGTCTTTTCATCATTAACTCTGACCAGAACACTACAGCGGCAGAAGCAATACATAAAGAAGCTCATATTTTTGATTTTGCCATTATGCTTATCTTTGTTGGAATGGAACTAGTTTCAACTAAGCCTACCGAGCCAACATGTAGTAATGCATCGAATAAAAGGCTATTTATCTTTTTTCATTATTTTCATTAATCACAGGTGTTCATGATGGTGTGGAGGACGCCAAAAGGAGAGGAAATAAACATAAAAAAGGGAAAGAAGAGAAGAAAGAATAAAATGGACTAAAATAGATTGACGCGGAAGAAAGAAAGACAGATAGAATAAAGTATGATTCAGGCAGCATGATGATTCTGGATTGTGTGTTTTTGCTGTTGAGTTTGTAGATTGCATGATCGTTACCATTAATCCTTCTGCATTTGCCACCATTATGACAGCTTCTTAAGTTTTTTTTTTTTTTTCATTGTTTTTATGTAGTCGTTTGTTCCTTATCAGTTTAAAACAAAGATCCACGACAGTCACTTGGTCATACAAGCATAAGATGTGCAGATTGGCTTAAGTTTGTTTTTGATTTTTTTTCCTGTTTTTTTTTTCTTAGCTTTTCTCCAAAAAAAAAAAAAAAAAAAAAAAAAAAAAAAAAGGATTCCAGACAGAGTGGCTACAATAATAATATTAACAATAGTAATAATATAATAATAGCACTTGACTTCACTTCAGCACAGTTTAAAAAAAGACAAGAAATAAAGGTTATAAAGGTGCTTTTTTGTGTTTTGTTTTTCTAAAATCTGATTTGATGTGAAGCGAAGTCCCCCCTTCTGCCCCCTTCCTCCCTCTTCATCCTCCTCCTCCTCCTCCTCTCAGCGGGGAAGTGGCGGGCAGAAGTCCAGTGCCGGTCAGACGAAGAAGTAGTGACTGAAGTATTGCCAACTGGTCTGTCTTTTTCTTTTTTTTCAGTTTTCTTTTTTTTTCAGTTTTTTTGTAGTGGTTCCACTCTGGTTCAGGACAAAAAGAGGAGAAGGAGAGATGGGAAAAGAAAAAAAAAAGAAAGTTGTACACACACACGCACTGCTGGCACCATGTTTGTTTAAAAGTCCGTCATCACAAATAAGCAAACAAACAAAAATAAATCGTAAAAGACTTGAAAGTAAGAGGGGTTTAAAAATGAAGAAAAAGCAAAAAGGAGGCCTGTCGGGGGGACGAATTGCTCCCATTTTACAAAATGTAACAAAATTTGTCCGCAAATTTTACAAATCTATCAGTACAGGAAAAAACAAACAAACAAACAAACAAACAAACAAACAAATATATCCTATTTACAATGACAACAAGAAGAAGAAGAAACCTTTTTTTTTTTTCAAAAGTGTAGTGAGAATGCAGCAGATCCCAGCTTTGGCACACGGCGATTTTGTTTTGTCTGTCTTTTTTTTTTTTTTTTTCCATGTTTGTTTGTTTGTTTCAGATCCAACCTGTCTGACGATCCGTCGGTCGATCCGTCGGTTGGCGTGTACAGTCAAACTGTTGCTGCAGGCACACATTCAGTGCTCTGGTTCACCTTCCTCCTCATCATCCTCACATCTCCAAAGCAACGCAGGTCATGCACAACATCACCTCAGCCTTCACTCTGCCCGCCCATCGGTCCAGTTCAACCGCCGGGTCTAATCTGCTTCCTACAGGCTCACTTCGTGGAAGGGTTCTGTTATTCAAGAGGCTTTTAAGGGGCTTAGAATAAAGCACGGATCATTAACGTAGTCTACTCATACATGTACTGGTTAGACTGTAAACAAACAAGTCAAGAAGTTTTAAAAAAAAGAAACAATTAAAAGCTTCCTTTAGGTGATAGTCTAGAACAATTTAAATCTTCTACTAAAGGAAAATGAGTTACTGAATGAATCTGAAGTTCTGCATTTTAAACTCATATTTCAAGAGCCAGGTTTCTGTTTAACCACTTTAAATCTGACAGTTTGATGAGAAAAACCTTTTTCTGTGCAAATAGGAAATTGTCATACAAAATGCACCATTTGTCAAGCATGTGCATCAGGGCGGCTTGTTAGAAAGCAATTTCGGATACAAAAGGTGATGCTTCTTAAAAACTCTAAATTTAGAGTTCCTAATCAGAAATAAAGCAATGAATCTCACTGGTCAGAAAAAAAGGTGCAAGTACTACCTATAAGAAGTATTCTTAAAAAAGACTTAAAAAGATACCTGTCAATCTGTTTTCTTTTTGACTTAGTTTTAATAAATTATTTTTAATCTTATTTTGACTTTTATTTTTTGATTAAATTAGTAGCTAACGTTATTATTACATTTCAAGTCTTTGTTGCACAGGTATTTTTTTAAATACCTTTTTACATTTTGTAACTGAGTAAAGGTCGGAGTTGATCTGAGCTTAATACTTTGTGGAGCTAGCAGCCTGCAGTTAACTGCTTACCATACCTATTTCAGGTTTAAACTACATTAATTTAAAATAAGTGATGGCCGGCACCCCACAGTGCGTTTTGTTTTGGGACAGGAAACATTTTCAAACATTATTTTTGGTAGCCTTCTTTCAGCCAGCTGACAGGCAGTGTGAAGAAATGGTGGAGAGAAAGAAATTTTGTCATTCAGGCACTTCTTCTGGCAAACCATTAAAAGCACTTTAAAATGTAGCAACAGAGGTTTTGCAGCCAAAATTGCTTAAAACCTTGGCAAACCTAAAAAAGAAAAAAGCAAACCGGTTTATACATATTAACACTGTATGAAAAACTTTAGACATAAGTTGATAAAATAGTGCTTCTGCCTCCCCCTGCCATGCCTTTAATTTGGTAAAACTGATTGTATAGACAGGATTTTTACATCTGTGCGCTGAAAGTCGTTTTTTGTAAATTAGCTTAAATGCCTTTCGATCTTGTTTGTATATTACTTTTATTAAACCCACTTCACTGTGAAAGCTGGAAGCATAAATATGAACTCTATTAAAAAGGAGGGATTTTTCAATTACTTTCACAGATTGTGACCCTGGATTTCTATTTGAGCTCTTCAAATTTTGGTATGGGTGCATGCTCGCTCATGTCCCCTAATAAAACCGGCCGCCTCAAAAGCCCACTCTTATTTAAACTCAAAAACCGTTCCCGTCCTGGGGTCACTTCAGCAGGAAAGCATGGACGACACTGCCTCAAACCGGATCGAGGAAGATGTTGTGCGTGACCTCAGATGCGACAATCAAGAGATAAGAATTGGTTTTAAAAAATAATAATACAGTACAATATCTGTTAATTAAAAGAAAATAAAAAAAGAGCTTTTCGTCTCTCCATTCTTCAGATTCTTTCTTCCTGTATGTTTCCAGCAGCAGTGACGGTGGCAAATCTAAAAAAAAAAAAAAAAAAAGGAAAAAAAGGGGGAAAAGAAAAAAAAAAAACCCCCAGTCTTTTTTTTTTTTTTACAACAAACAAAAATGTCATCCTGATGCGAACTCAGATTATTACTACCTTAAAGAGAAAAAAAAAATCATATATGGGCACAGAGAGGGATTAAAAAGCAATTGTTGTGCCAGAAGCTGGCACTCTGTTCTAATCCTTGTAGGTGGTTTAATGTTGAGAGTTGGCTTTTGTTTGGAAGTGAATTAAATTGGGACCTATAGTCCCTGTGACTACAAAAACAGGACAATGGATCCAAAAAGAAAACTAAAATATACCAGTGTTGCTATGAAGATCATTAAAAATATATTTTAAAAGATCAGCGACACAATTACATGATTTAATGTAAAAAAATAAAATAAAACTTTTCATACTGCGGGCATGTCTAACTTCTATGATAATCTCCATGAAACTAGAGGTTTTAGTTCCTGTTTCTTTAAGAACCGTGGTCATTTCTCAGTTTACCGCAGTTAAACAAGCATGTTAAATGGCAGAAATCAATACTTTTATGTCCACAACAAAAACAAGAAAATTACACAGAGATTGCATGGTAACAAAGAGGAAAAAAAAAAAAAAAAACTGGAAAATTATGTTTTGTGCAACAGTTAAAAAAAAAAAAAAAAAAAAAAAAAAAATTTTTCTTGGGGGGTGGGTTTTTCCCTGTTTTTTTTTTTTTTTTAAAAATTTAAAAAAAAAAAAAAAA